CCCTAGATTTGTTTTATGCCTTGCAGGTCTGAGCAGCAAGCCTGGGTGCAAGCAGCAGAACTATCTTGAACCATGTTTTACTGCTAAGAAGCAGAATGACAATATCGGTTTTAAAAATATGCTGAAACATCCGATTCATGGACCATAATAATAATTATGAAACTTGTCAGCCCAGTGCTCCTGCACAGACCATGCAATGCTGTAGTTTTGCTGCCCGAGAAGTTCAAGCCTCATGCTCACCTAGAAGGCCAGAACTCTAAAGATTCAGGCGATGCCTTGCTGGTCTGAGTGGCGGGTGTGGGTCCAGGAAGTAAGCCACCCAGAAGTAGACAACAGAAGCATACTAATTAATAAGCAGAGCAGCTTTATCATAATCAACATACTCAGGGGCCCTCTTATTTTCTCTTACAGCTCCATGCTTGTCTACAGACCACACAGTGCCATGATTCTGCTGGCAATGTAGAAGTCAGTCAGGTGTGATGCTTCTCCAACTGTTGTGAACAATGCAATGTAGTCTAGGTTCAAGTGATGCCTGGCTTGTCTAACAGGTGTAAGCTCAGAAATTATGCAGAACTAGACTAGAACAAGAATCATAGTCCAAGAAAACATTCTCCAGACATCCATGGCCCACATGCTTTTCTGTCTGAGCCCAATGCTCGTCTGCAGACCATGCAGTGGTGTGATTTTTTGTGGCACAGTAGAAGACAGAGAGGTTGGACACTTTTGTGCAACCCGTAGCTTCTGGCAACCGCTGGTCTGACTGGTGCTCCATGCTGTGGGCTTGAAGCAGGTTTGTGTTGCGAGCCAAGATTACAAAACAATGACAATAATTCAACTTCACATGTGGGAAACAGTATGACTAGGTAAATGCCTGGTTTGAGCTTGCCAGCCCAGCAACTCGGAAAGTACTTTCTTGTGGTTGGAGTCTGAAACAGTCGTTTCCAACTGCTTTCATCACTCGCCTTCACAGGGGATGCCATGAAAAGTTCCTTTGCAGCTCTTGTTCGGCCGGAAGAGTGTGATGCCTGCACATGCCATCATTGCTCTGACAGCCATCCTCTTTGTGCCTGTGTTTCTTGGCCCAGGTGTCGTTATGACCGGGTTCGGCAACTCTGTGGTGCAAGGCCGGTATGTCAGATGGTCGTGTGGGAGTGATGCAGCTGGACAGCAGCCTTGCGAGACATATGCGAATGTTACGAACATCTCTCAAGGTGCAACTAATTCAGAAATTTTTGCCTGGAATGATTAGTAGTTACAGGATGGTCGCAAGGGCAGAGCAGCTAGTGCAAGTCAGCGTGTTTTACCAGTCGGTGTTTTCATACCACATTACAACAATCACGACCTGGCCTAGCCATGGGCAGGCATGCTGGGAAGACTCAGGGTGCCAAAGCATGCAAGCGCAGCCTGGAAGACCTTTTCGACAATCCTGTTTCTGGCAAGAGGCCCAGGGCCGGGTCAGAGTCGAAGGCCACGACAATGACAAGGTCAGAGGCCGTTGCAAAATCGACTCGACAGGCCCAGAGCCGAAAAGCGGGTAAGTCAGAGTCGAAGGCCTCAGTTGTTGCCAAATCGACTGGACAGTTCCAGAGCCGAACAGCAGCGAAGTCAGAGTCCAAGGCCTCGAGGTTAGAGGCTGCTCCGAGAAGGGTTGGAGCACAGTCCAGGAGGCTCAAGATTCTGCCTCAAAAGCAGAAGAGGCCACCGGTCCGACAGACAAACAAGAAAAAGAACAAGGTCGATATCCACATGCGACTTCAGTCAACTGTGGATACTGCAGAACATGCAGCCGAACATCCGAACCCAAAGGAGTTCATGGGAAGTTGTGCCAGATGCCGGTTTTTGGTTCGACGTCATGCTTGGCAGGATGTCACTACAACGAATGTCCTGAACTCCAAAGTGCAGCTGAATTGGCTTGGGCAGCGGCCCTCCCACATGGGCGGAGACTGGGGATTGGGCTGCTTGGCCTGTGCCACTCTCTTAACTCGAGCTGGTGGATCTTCTTTGCAGGGCCATCGTCTGAACACAAAATGGGCCAGGTTCGAGGTAAGAACTTTATCCAACATGCAAGCGGAGTCACTCAAGCACCTTAACTTGAAGAAGTAAAGCTGTGCAGTTTAATATCAAAGTCACTATTATTATTCTGTGAGAATTAGAGCCTCCTGTGCCCCAGAATCTGTGATTTGTGCAGGAAGCATAGCCGGTCTGACTTGCACAAGCTGGCCGTTCGCTGCTGGTCCAGCCCTGGTGCGCCGGAGGCTGTGCTGCAAACGTCCTTGGACTCCAGACTCTAGGCAGCAGATCTGTAGAAAAGTTCTGCTAGTAGGATGTGTTAGGACAGTGTGGTGATTCGGGCTTTGCTGACATTGGGTTTAGGAAGACTTAGGCTCGGGT